GCCTAGCCTCTGCCTTTAACTTTGCCCGCTGCGATGATCTCATATAGATATTAGAAAGAGTAAGTGCCCGCAATGAAAAATAAGGAAAAATGATGTGAAATGTTTGGCAAACGAAAGAGATTAGAGGACAGAGATGCTGTGAGCTACCAAGTCCCCGCACGCTGCAGCGTACTGTCAAGCTGGAAAGGCTCCAAAAGGGCACGCCCAAGCAGGTGTAACTGAACGAGTCGGGGCAGTCATCGACGAATATCCTTTATGTGTAGAAGAGTAATCATCATTGTTGTCATGATTTTATTGCTATCCCGAGCGAGCAAGCGATAGCAGTGAAATTGTGCAATCGGCTTACGATTCTGGCCAATGCACCATAATTGTAGTTTTCAAGTAAACGATGGTTAAACAAACATTCTGGTTTAGCCAGAGGTGTAAGCCTGGCGCCTGTGTATTGTTCGCTGACTCATTTGTATTTGTAAAGGAACATTAGCGCAACGCGCACTCATAGATACAGTGGTAAGATGCTGATCAGGTAGGCTTGCCAAAATAATGCCATGTCCCAACTGTATAAATGTTTGATTTCTGATAAATAAGTTTGTGTGAAGACCTTTCGCGGCCATTCAAAAACCATATAAAAAAGTTGGCTTCAACTTGGATTTAGATTCGAGTATGAAGCGAATCATTAATCACTCTTCACTACTAAGATTACTTTGGGAGCATTTGAGAAGATTTTGAGTTACAGAAGACTCCTATTTTGACTCAGAAAGCAAACCAAGCAACCTTTGTTCTATAACACTAGGGTAATCAGACGTCGTTAATCTAAATATAAGTTTTCACTTCACCTTAATACTTTAAGCCAAGTATAAATGACAGCTGTCTTCTCAATACTTCAAAATTCCACACCGTTTAAAAAGTCCAAAAATGTGTAGAATGTTAGGCAATAGAATCAGCATGCGTGAAAGTCCTGATAAAACGATGGCTCATTCAGTATGGCATTGTATGCCACAAATTCCTACCGTAGTCTCACAGTAATAAGCAGCGGCTGATAATTCGTTTCATACTGTTAACCTAAGCCGAAGTTAGCTCTACAGTATGACTTTTGAATGGCCGAGAAAACTCTTTGCATTAGAAGGTTATTGAAGATCAAACATCATACTCTTTAATAAAGCGCAGGGGGGCCATCCAATGTCAACAACCGGCGAAGGATGTTTGCCCAGATCTCCGAGTTACTTCTTGCACTTTCACCCGCTTCCATACTATTTACCGTTACGACTCAACCTAAGTGCAACCTATGACGTCATCAATGTGGTATGATGTTTTGTGCCATCTTCGGTGTTCCGTCTGCTTCGGCGATGTTTATCACGACGTCAAGCTAAATACAACCCCAATTCCGTCGCCTACAGCGCTGTTAGCGGTCGATTTATTTCAACCGCTTTACATTTTGCTTTATTCATTTGTGAAAATAAGCAAACGTCGGATATCATCTTCAGGTCGGTGATAATACTTAACATTGATATTTGCATAACATCTCCTCAATTCTTAATCAGTGCACCACATCATTACTGTTTTTACCATTGAACGTATCTTTACATGCAAAAACAAATCTCAAAATTGAACCTTTCCTTAAAAATCGAGCAAAATCATATCACTCATTGTCCATTCTCCTATTGTGCACCATTCCATTTTTGTCTTCATTACCAATCGTATCTCATCAAAAATTTTCAGATTTTACTCTGAAAAAACCCTTCCACAAGAATGAAGCAAAAGAAGCGAATTAAGCATGCTGAACGTATCTTCACATAAAAAATTCCTTGAACTCACTGTGAAAAACGAACCTTTTTGAGAAAATAGTTAAACATCAATACTGTGCGAACTTTCCAAAGCTCACTTTGCAAGCAACGCAGGTTCTTAGAGAACACTTCATCTCAGGATTTTAAATTAATCCAAAGACTGAAAATTTCAAAAAAACTGTAAAAGTTACTGTGATCGTGAGAGAAGTTTTGAAAAGAGCTACACGCTGTCTGTCTGCTATCAGTATACCAAGTGTGAACAAAAGAGATGGGAAGAAAGGGACGCTTCACTATCCATCAGCTCAACCCTTGCTAACCTCAGGAACATGTAGCTTTTTAGTGCAATTTTGTGAGAACATTGCACTACCTCAAAATTGTATAGACAGCAGTGATTTGCTTGAATGAACAGCTTAAATTGGATGTACGCTTCAATACTAGCTCTCTTTACGGAATTTGGGTCAATAGCCTACCAAGTTGAGTTGGAAAATGGGTGCGCTCTAGAGCATTTCGGGTGGAATTCATAGTCCTATATGGGCGTCTTATATGGAAGGCTTTCCAAATTGTTGAACAATTTGGAAAGCCCATATAGGACGCGAACGAGCTCTGGCATTAGAATCAGGGCACGGCACAGGTGGCTTGGCAAGCAAGCTGGATATCGTTTTTGGGGTAAAAGCAAAGGGGATATCGTTTTTGCGGTAGAGCATAACGTTGTCTTTCGATCTGCGGCCTGCACGCTGCCGGCATGCAGCTAGCAAGTAAACAAAAGGTTTGTTTACAGCGAAGTGAAGATGAAATGACACCAAAATAGGTGTGTGGATGGGCAATGGGGAGTTAGGACTAAGTATGAAAAATTATGTGAACTAAAGGCGTGCTCAACTTTTTTCGGAGTTAGGTGGCTTTCAAGCCACCTGGATAGCCACCTGAGGTGGCTTAGGAAAGAAAAAGTCATAAATTTTTCCTCCCTCACATAATTTTTCAACTTTCTTTACATACTTTTCATCTACATCCCAAACCCTACAAACTGGTTCCTAAACCGCCTCAAACCCCCTTCTCCCCGCTTAGTTATAGCCCCTTGAAAATTTTAAATGGCCGCGGAAAGGCTGCTCTAGGCGCGTATTGCTGCACGATGGATACATCATGCCGCCATTCCGGAGAATATGAATATCATCGCGTGTGTTCGATGATTCTTTTTCGTTTTTTTTCTGCTGTTGCTTTGTTCCGTTCCTTTTCATGTATTTTCTCTTCGAATATCTCGTGGTGGATGTCGTAATTTTATTGAAGCCAAAGGGGACTTCATTTTTTGCAATTTCGGGACGCCATCTCGTGCCGAACCCTGGTCTAGGGTCAAAGGGGACTTCGTAAAAATTTGCAAAAGTCAAGGGGACTTCGTTTTTTGCATTTTCAACCAGCCACCTCGTGCCGAGCCCTGATTAGAATTTTTTAAGCATCCTTCGTGAAGAGGAAGGGAGGTTTTTTCATTTAGGAAATTTCATTATAGTAAGTTAGAATTTTGGCTAAATGCATTCAAGCGCGTTGAGTTGAATCCTCTTGCTGAAATCTCGCAAAGAATTCAGAATAGTTACTTTGAGGCCCATATGCATGAAAATCCTCACAGTGGCAAAAAAGAAGCGGCGTCCTCAATGATGAAAAGCCATAGCAGTGTTCGCTCGCGGCCCTTTTGTGACAAGGGACGTCGCTTGCTTTACCCCAACTTTTCATATTGGCCTTCTAAGGCAGTTCGTAGGGACAGTCGATGAGGAGAGCAGAGCCCGGGGTGAAAACAGCCATGAAAAGGTACATAGCTGGGAAAAGCTTGCCGGGTTTGTGACGGCCACTTTGGTCAGAAAACTTTCGGATGTGAAAATTTGAGAGTATCCGAGGATTTTCGCAATTGTGGGAATGAGCAACTTTGGCAGCTGCAGTTTATGATGATAACGCTGAAACTTTGGCTCAAAACCGCACACCAACGCTTAGGGCTTGCGCTGCATTTCGCATTGCAGGAGGGTTCAAAGAAAAGGTGGGAACGGACAAGTCCTAACGCCGCAGACATGATGCAGAATCTTTGCGTTGCGCAGCTCATCACATCAATTTTGGCCTGATTCGGTGCACAGACTTTAAAGGTGTAAGGTGGCGCATTTTCTCAACAGCATCTTTGGAGCTAGATTCGAAAGCGATTAAGTAAGATCAAAAGGATTTTGAGAATGCGAGAAAAGATCGTAGTTTGGGCAGTTTATAAAGGAAATATTTGGATGAAAAGGAATTTGGGGGGGGGGAGGCCAGTTTGGCTCAGAACTCAGGAATGACAATAAAACGCGAGTTGCAAAGAAAGCTGAGAGGAAGCGATTAATTTATCACTTTGGTTAATGATGTAACTTGGGAAACCATCTAAAGCAGGAGATCCTGACATTTAACTTTGATGATCTCCGAGTTCGTTGAGTGTCTGAGAAATCGCCATACTTTCGGAAGAGAAAAGGTTTAACGCTTTAACTTTGAGTGTCATATCCCACTTCACACACACAGCCAGTCCGGAGCGCCGCGAAGCGGCGCTTCGGACTGATTCGAATAATATGGGGCACCTATCACAAGGGATACCATTTTACAGCAGGTCAGTCTTATGCATAATTTTTTTTACTCTAGCAGATTGAAGAATATGCCGATTTTGCTGGCACAGTAATCCATTTGGGGCATGCGCCGAACACACTCTAACCTCGAGTCATTTGTAACTTAATACGTGAGACTGCACACTAAGTCCTATTAGCGACGGCATCCTTACTTGTAACTTTCTTGTAAAACATTTTTTAGCATAACAAAGTGTAGAAATGTGTTCTATTGACTAACATGTAATCAACAAAAACAAAAGAGACAGGGAAACAAGCAGAAATCAGTGGGAATGAGCAGGTTCTAATTTTGCTGTTCGTCACATAGCGTGTTTAGTGTGCACTAGGCATATTAATTTACGAATGACTCGACGATACTTCATACGAAGAGGCTAATGAATGTGTGCGGGCCTATTAAAGTGACTTGCGGGGCTAGCATACCAAATCAGTGCTTTTATCCTTCTAAATTACTCTGGATCAATCTACGCCTCGGAAGGTAGAAGGCTTGGTTGGCCTAGGTGTGGATTCGAATCTGGGTCCGAAATGGTCGTAGCACGCCTCATACCACAACGTCACTCGCTTCCATTATATTCTTAAAAATTCTAAATATGCAAATATTAAGTCCCCACACCGGAGAATTTTGCTCGAGCAGCCGAAACGATGACGAAATTGAGGATTCACGATCTGATGCAGTGAGACGGCTGAAAGGTGGTGATGAAGCGCAACTCCAGGTGAACTTTCCTTGGTAAGACACTTTCCGTATAGAATCATGCGACTATTCTAGAGTACACCTGTGCTTGCACCTATAGCCTGTATTTGCTGCAATGCAAGAGTAAGTCCTTCATCTTATGACTCAACGCTGATGGAGCATAATATGCAGCCCGTACTCATGACAATGTGCTAATGACCTTACAATGTTATCTAGGCAGCCCTGTCAGTGTGTTTTGGCGCTTATAAGTAATCGCCTACCATTGATCCCTACGAAACCAACCTTTTAAATTTCTCCTTCAACTTGAGATCACCGCACGGACTATAAACAGGGTAGAGTAAAGCAGCCTTTGCTCGTTGAGCTTCAGAGTGCAGTTCCGAAAGTGTGCTCTCTGGGCTCTCTAAACAAGTCAAAACCGCTCTTTGTGAATTTTATTTCCTTCAACCCAAAAGTTGAGCAAGTAACTCATGGTCCTCTCAAATATCGCCAAGTATGCGTCGCTTGATTAATTTGGTTGCCCACAGCGGCATGCCGCCTTCCTCAATTCATTCCTACGTGCGGCCTTTTGGACCTATGTGTGCGGTTGTTAGGCCTTGACCAAAATTGTTATAATCGTTTACTAGGCCTAGTTTCGGCTGTTTCGCCTTCGTCAGAGCCTGAAAAACAAGCAGTAAATGAGATCTATCCTCCAAAAATCTTATCATCACAGGATAGGGAAAGTTGTAAATGCCCATAGACAGCTCACCTAAAACTTGCCGATTGAGGACTGCAGCCATAACTAACATGCGTTGAGTGAATAATGAGCTACGGTTTCCGGGTATAAATGGTGTTGGTCAAAGCCCGCATAACCTCAGGAACGGTGTGAGCCAATTTGTCATGGCGATGCACTGCTCCTTCCTGTTCATTTTTGGTCTCCTAGCGAACATCAACTAGGTTCTAATGTTTTGCGCGCCGCTACTTCTGGCTCTCACTACAGGGTTGTTATAAAGATATCAAAATCTGCGTTGCATTGGCGCCGCTTACTTGTCGGACCATTTGCTTGCAATAACAGTCGAGTATAGAGATGGGGAGGGGGGGCGGGAGAACGCAAGGGACAGCAACACACAGCTACCGAATGTCGATACGATGGGGTAAGTGGTCGTGTGGACGATATCAGAGAGTGGTCTTACTTAGAGAGACCTTATTGGTGGGCACACGGATCAAACTTTGGTAATGTAGCATATATATTCTAGTACTGTTTATTGTTTTGTGAAAGACGAAACTTCAAGAGCAAATACTGCCACATAGTTGACATTTCTATCTGCGTTAAATCATATACATAAGTCATTTCAGAATTGCTAGCCGATGCACTAGGCTATTTCAAAGCGGCGTGGGGGTAAGATCTGAATCGCGAGATATCGCCGAGTGTATATACTGGTAGGGTATCCCGCGCTGTCAAGAATTCCAACAATTGGCTGCAATTTGGTTGGGTTCAGCTAAGACAAGGTCCCGCCAGATTCCCACCATATGGTCATAGGTATGAATCGCTGGCGGTTCTGTGTTCGACGATTCTAGCGTTCTTTCTTTTTGCAGAAACACAGCTTGATAGTCTGTTCTCTGTTAGTGAATTTTTTTGTACATTATTGACAAGGAGAGAATCAACTCATCGAACAAATCAAGACAGTTGGTATCGTCGCCTCCCAGAGCAGATCGGAAGAAGCTTTGCAGTTTCGCTCAATCGATGATTTGCCCTATCTTACAAAAGTCCGCAAAGCTCCGCCCAATCTACTCCGGGAGACGAAAATAATAACCAATCTCAGCGTCTTGATAATCAAAATGGCAAACGACACATTTTCCGCAATGCCCCTTAAACTGTTTCATAATATCTGCACTACAATGCTGAGTTGGCGGAAGCTCTATTGCGGCCTTGCAGTAGATTGGGAAACCAGTCGAGAGTGGGACCTAGAGCAGTATACAAGTCAACGGGATTCTCTCAAACCTTTTTTTGCGGACGACATCACTTTCTTTTTGTAAAGTGTCACTGAAGTAGAGACGGTGCCGAAGGAACTAAACGAACAGGGTTGGAGAATGGACTGCGAATGATCTGGAAGAATACTCAGTTTATGTTGAAAGCCATTTGTGCAGATGCGGAATGGAAATGGCAGACACGTCCATTATGGATACGTCTTCGTAGGTGTACTTGGACGTCAGATGAAGAACGAGTTGAGGGATGAACCCTAGGAGAAAAGAGGAGCGTGGGCCCTATTCGAGCCTGAAAATCGTTGCCATTCAGCTGAAGGAACTGGAGCCGAGCCCACTTAATCAACACAACCGTTCTTACGACGATCTGTTACGCAGCTACGATTTGGGATGACTCTGCCATGTCAAAAGCTGTCATTACCAATATTGGGGTCTTCTTCGCGATCCGAGAAATTGCAAAAGCGAAGCAATCATAGCCGGTAGCATTATGAAACGAAAAGAGAGGGATAAACCCTTAGGTCCCGGGAAGAGTTCACGCAATCTGATTGTCGCTATTCAATAGCTACAAGACAGGTGTTACGGCCGATCTTCTCGTACTTCGGTTGTGATAGTTAGTCACGATTAATCGTGTTGGAAAACTATCACAACCGAAATGCAAGAAGAACGGAATGCAATGATATTGTTACAGCTGTCTTGTCGCAATCAATCGCGGCGATTGAATCGCGTAAACTCTACTCGAGGCCTTAGGCCTAAGGCATACCTCGCGCGATTCCGGTCGCTGCGCGATTTGGCACAACAACGACTCTTCGTAGTTCGTCGTTAATGTGCTGTCTTTGATCAGAACTTGCTCCATTTGCAACAACTTACACAAGCTACCCAAATATGCATCCGAGAAGAGTGCACGATAAATTAGTAGAAATCTGGCAAATCGCCAAGTCGCGTGAAAGTGGCGATTCGGCCGAATCGCGTGAGGTATGCCTTAGGCCTTAGGCCCCCGGCAGAGTTCACGCGATTTGATCATCGCGACTGAGTCGCGACGAGACAACTGTTACAACATCATTCCATGCCGATCAACTTGCATTCGGTTGTGATACTTTTCCAGCCCGAAATTTTTGAATGTGAAATGAAAATGAATGGAAATCTTGGCGATTAGATCGCGACGATTAAGTCGCGTGAAGTCTGCCCGGGGCCTTAGACGAATGGACTACTCACGATATGGTAGGTGGTAGACGCGTTCGTAGATTGGATGGCTCAAACTGCTGTAGTCTGCCTTTGTTCTATTTATACAAGAAGTCTTATCGTCCACAAAGAATAAACTCGTTTTACCTCACGAAAATGGCGATTGATCGAATAACCTTCAAAAATCAATGAAACACGTGTCTATAGACACAATCTTTACTTACAATTCAAGGAATAAAAACTGGACTTTTCCAGATAGCTGTTATTTTGTTATGTGTGCTAGTTATTATAACACAAATGTATTATTTAGTTATTGTAGATGAGATTTTAGTAAAGACATTCACTGACAATATGCTCTATCGGATAATAAACGTAAGTTTCATCTAACCATTGACTCATGATCATAAAAGATTCGACTTTTTATGAGCTTTCCTTTATGTGATGTAGTTCGTAGATTTTGCAGATTGTTGCTGCACTTGTCGGTATACTTGGAGTACTGTCTCACAAGTCATTTCTTATGGGAGCAATATCAGTCGTATTTGTACGTTTATCTTCAGTCAGACTTTTTGAATAGAAAAAAGAACATCAGAGAATTTTTGAATTGATGGTACTGCAAAAGTTGTTGCCTAACAAGCAGCGCTACTGAGACCACGGCTAATCAGATTAGGATGTATACTGAAGCAATTTAGCTCGAAGCAGCTCAGCTCCCTAGAAATTCACCTCTCAATGTGCAAAGTCAGCTAAATACAGTCAGTGCTCTAGCGTGTGATCATCATCTAGCCGAGTAAAGAGGGATTTTTTGCAATGAACTTTGACCTAAACATACCGGGTGTCCCAAAAGTATATATACACTGTTTGATCGTTGATATCTCTCTTCCCAAGGAGTCTTTTACCCACCTTGAGGTAATATTTTGTAAAGCTGGCTTCAACCCAGATCTATAGTATGCAGTGAACCACCAATCCCTCTTCGATACTGTAGGATCATGGTAGGAACTTTTGGCTTGCAGCCTCATTGTGGATTGGTCGTGTTTCAAAAAAGATTCCAAAAGTTCTGAAAAGTGGTATATCAGGGACTTTATGCGCGCTGATTTCATTGCTCATCTTTCTAGATGTTTGTAAAGCTTTTCAAAGGGTGTGATTGCAATTTTAGGGAGCATCGTAAAAACAGCTATCAGAATTTAGGGGACCTAAGTCATGAAGGAAGCATCGCGGTCAAAGACAAAGTTCATATTTGATTTTAACGACTTTGTGTTGAAGTGTTGGCCTAGTGTTAGAGTTTCCAGATTGTCTAGTTTGCTTTCTAAGGCGAGATAGGGCTCTTAATGGCTCGAAACCCTTTTTGAAGTTCCTACGGTAATTTTACAGTAGCGAACGAAGATAATTGATTCGCTTCATACTGTAAATGTAAGTTGAAGCCTGCTCTACAAAAGGTACCTGGAGCAGGCAAAAGACTTCTAGGGAACAGAAATATTAATGATCAAACAGTGTATACGTACTTCTGAAACACCCTGTAGTGCTAGGCGTGGGGTCTTTTGTGCTTCTGCCTGTCGTCTATCTGTCACGAAAATCGAAGAGGAAGCTACAGATAAGTTCATGAGCAAGATCCTTGCGCAATGCATACTGGCATCATGTTGTTACACGGTGCAATGGCCAAGCAGATTCGATAGGCGGAAAACAGTGCGTCAAACGGACGCACACAACTTTTGGCCACTCAAAGTGAGTAGGTTTAGCGATGAAGATTACTGCTCAAAAATGCAACTTACGCTGATCATTGTCGCCATGACGACTATCAAACTAAAATTACTCCATTGTTTGATTCATACTTTCATTTGATCTTTTGGAGACAGTGTTTTTCCTAAGTTTAATGTTGAAGAATTTTTGAAATAAGTGGTTGTTTACAACTGACGTAATGACCGGCATTGCGCAGTAAACTTCATGCTATTACTATGAGAACACGAGCAAGGCGTGTAGATAATAGAAATAGTGCCAGACTGTGCGAAGCAAAGGGGTGTTACTTAGTAAATCATAAGCGATTCTGTTTTTATGAGACACTAGCTTGCTCACCCGGCTCCGCTCGGCCCTGTCAAAACACTGTAAAAAGGTCCCGTCCCTATCCCTGTACAGCCTTTCCCTGTGCTGCCAACTTCTACACTTCATTTCCCATTCCCTGTGTTGTTTTCGAAATTAGCATGCCCAATTAACCTCCTGTGCCAACTCCCGGCCCTGTAGCTCAAACTTTGCAAAAAATCGATAAAATCAATAGAACTAATCGATAATTTTGAAAATTAATATTGTATTCGGACTCACCATGCTTACTTACCCCCGTGTGCCAACTCCCCTAGCTTAAAGCTCCTAGCTTAAACTTTGCAAAAAAATCGATAAAAATCGATAAAATCGGATCGATCGACAACGAAAAGCAGCCTATGACACGCTGCTTGCCCCGTACTGTATGTTTGCCAAGTTTGGTCAGAATTGGTTCAGAAAATAAAAACTTCTATTCCGCACATACGTACAGACATACATCCAAACAGGGCCCGGCGGGGGTGGTGCTTTCACAAGCTGGATATCGTTTTTGGCCCGAAAAAGCAAAGGGGAGGTCGTATTTTGGGGTCCGGGGCGGAGCCCCGAACCCCAAAATACGACTTCCTCTTTGTTTACCGATAAATAATGCACATGTCATTATTTATTCAACATTCCCTGTTGATGCTACTGTCCTATGAACTTAGATTCCAGCAATGTGAAGATTCTGTGCTCCGATCGCTAGCCTGCCCGCAGGCGGGAGTTCAAATCGCAATTCTTGTAAGAGGGAAATAACAAAATAGGCTCGTTTTCAATGCACAAGTAACGATATGGCACCAAATTTGCTGTATAGTTGGAGGACCATAAGCACAAAAAAAGTATGAAGAATTATGAGAAACTTATGTGAATTTAAAAAATGGTAAGTGTTTTTCGAAATTAGGTGGCTCCCGCGCCACCTGGGAGCCACCTGGGGTGGCTCCCTGCTTCCCTTCACATAATTTCCCAGATTTCTTTACATAAATGTGGAATAGGTCGAGAGTATTACTATATGTTCAAATCCGCTTCCAAAACCATCAAGGTACCGCTTCGATACAGCCCCAAATAGGGTTCACAGCGTTATGATCGGCCTCAAAAAGCGCGCTCCAATCGCAATCGGTGCACCTTGCACGGACGACGCGGAAACTCCGAGAATTTGACTTTTTGCTTAATTAGTGATCGCTGATTGAAGCAATCTTCGCAATTTTTAAATAGATTGCTTCTTCGACGAGCCCTACAAGGGCTCAGAAGGGCCAGAGATCATATTTGGTCGTGATGTTCTATACGAAAAGTTGTTTTTGTGATTGTGTTTCTTCAGTTTTCGCATTGTGGTCGTTCTCCGCACTTTCGCTCTTTTGGGTCGTTTGTTTTCGTCGTTTTTCTTTATTCTGGTTGTTGCAGGCATGCTGTCATCAAAAGTTGAGGAAATGTTTTGACAAGATCGAGTCGAGTAAAGTCGGTGGACCTTCATTCCACGGAAACGTGGCTATTGGCAGCTCTTTACAGTGGAAGCGTTCAGATACGGAATTACGAAAGTCAGCTGCTTCTGAGATCTTTCAAAGTAGGTTTATTTTTTTTGAATTTTCATGTATTTTTGTATGTTAGGCCCCGGCCAGACTTCGCTCAAGATAGCTCATCCAAGAATGAGTTCCTATCCCGCAAATCGTTGAGCGTTGCCAGGTGTTCTTGTACATATGCGTCGTGAAAAGGGGCCTTTGGTGTTTTTGAGCGGTTCTGGGCTGTTCAGTTGAAGTCTGGCTGGGGCCTTATGTTGCTTACTATGTTTCAATCCAGTATCTTGCGCATTCTTCAGATATGTGATTTGCCAGTGCGCGCTGCCAAGATTATTTCACGCAGAAATTGGATTGTTCGGCTCAGATGACATGCATGTCAGAATTTTCGACTACAGCACGTCGCACTTAGGTCACCAATTTGCGGCTCATTCGGACTATCTCAGGTAGGTGGAATGGTGCATTTATGCAAATATGTTACATGACATCGAATTTTTGCATTCGTTTTTGTACATTTGTAATTTTTTGCTTTTTCTTTGTGTGTTTTCCTTCATTGCCTCCAATATTTTTGTGGATCAGCGAGACCCATATTTTCAATGTGTTTCTGGTCTGGACGACCCTTACTCGACAGAGTTTACGCGATTTGATCGTCGCGATTGAATCGCGACAAGACAGCTGTTACGAGTTCATTGCATGCCAACCAGCTTGCACTTCGGGACTGTCAGGGACTTACGGGGGCCAAAAATAGGGTCAAAAGGGAAGTCGTAAGAAATTTTGACTTCAAAGGGGATATCGTTTTCAAAATCCTGAAATGCCACCTCCTGCCGGGCCCTGCATCCAAATTACATACAAACACGCATTCAGCTTTATATATAAGTAGAATTTTATGGAGGACTCGCAGATGCCGAATTACGGGAAGGAGCAGAACCACTGACCTTTTGACATGAAATGGTGTCGCCAAACTCAGCTCAAAACGCTGGTTCCAAGATAGCCTTTTTTCAGCTGCAGAATAAACTCTAGGTCATGAGATATTTCGATTCGTGGAATTACATGCTGGGAGTAGCCAAAACTATTGAAGCTCATGTATTTTGGGCTCAGAAACAGTTGGCACAATTAATCGGAATGTGCTGACTTTACCACTTTTATGGTAAAGACTAGGATGTGATAGCTGACCAGTCTTATGGAAAGCCAGTAGTTGGAGTTTGGTGGCTCCTATGTGCTACAGTACACATAGGTTAAAAAAGCTTTATTGAGACATCAACATACCTGATTCGGGTAGTGGTAGAATGCTGCTCCTAATAGGCGGATCAAGGCAAGGTAATGCATATCAATACATATGACTTGAGGTCGCGAGTCGGTGACCTCAAGGCTACAAAGGAGTCTAAGTAATGAGAAATTGATAAGATTGGAAGAGGTGCCAAATATATCGGCACACTCCGGCCAGCAAAAAAGGAAAAAAACAAGCGAAGATACCAAATTATTACGATGACTATAAAATCGGATATTCACAAACTGTTCAGTGGCATGTAAACATCTAATTCAGTGGAAAAATGATGCACATGTGAGAAAGTGTCGAGTGTACCGGCACACTCCTAAAAATGTGCTGACACTCTTATGGTAAAGTCTAGGATGTGATGGCTGACCAGTCTTATGAAGCCGATATTTGGAGTTTGGTGACTCCTGTCTGCTACGGTACACATAGCTTATAAAAGCTTTATTGAGACATCAACATACCCTGATTCGGGAAGTGGTAGAATGCTGCTCCTAATAGGCGCAGCAAGGCAAGGTAATGTATATCAATACAAAGATATGACTTGAGGTCGCGAGTTGGTGACCTCAAAGCTACAAAGGAGTTTAGTAAGAAGAAACTGATAAGATTGGAAGAGGTGCCGAATATACTTGGGTAATTCGAAAATTTTTCATTGAATGAATGAATATCGAATAAATTCGAAAAGGAAAAATTTCGAATAAACGA